TCCTGTTCCCTCCCACTCAACAACTCCGGAGGGACTCCGGCTGTGCACTGATAAAGCAGGGCTAAGAGCCAAGGCACACCCTCTCTGATCTGCTTGGAGCACTCACAGCCTCTCGCTCCAGCCCCAGGAAGTATACAGTGTTTGTAAACTCCTCCTGCTGCTGCTGCTGGACGATCAACCCTCAGCCCCCAAGCGGTGGCTCTGGGGCCAGCAGGGAATTTGAAGAAACACTCATCGGAAATATTTGGATCGTCTGATTCTGTGGTTGCAGGATACACGGAAAGCAGGGCCGGCTCCAGGCACCAGCTTGCCAAGCAGGTGCTTGGGGTGGCCACTCCGGACAGGGGCGGCAGGTCCAACTATTCGGCGGCAATTCGGCGGACGGTCCCTCACTCCCGCTCGGAGCCAAGGACCTCCCGCCGAATTGCCGCCGCAGATCCCGATCCCGGCTTTTTTTTTTTTTGCGCCGCTTGGGGCGGCAAAAACCCTGGAGCCGGCCCTGACGGAAAGAAACCGATGTCGCCGCTATTATGCATTTTAGCATTTATGTCGTGTGCTTTCTCTACAAGAACTATTGGCTGCCCGGCTGGGAGCTTTTTGACCATGCCAGACAGGGGCTACCTGCATCAGGGGAGAATAGATGTTAACTGTCGCAGGGAAACCTCCACAGTCTAAAAGAAACGGCTCTAGAAAGATTCCCCCAAATAAGGGAGTTGCTCTCTCCCTAACAGTTAGTGAGACATGCAGCAGGTCTGCATGAGTGAGATTTTAAATGTTTCTTTGAAATATACCCAGAAAAATCCTTCAACAGAGGAGGCATAGAAGTTTCGTACTAAGGAATCCTCAAATGAAAGATTAAATTGCCACAAAGGATGCATGAAAGTTAATAGAAAATGATGGAGAAACTCTTTTTTGTTTTTTTGACAACATGGTCAGCAAATGTGCTGAGAACACTTGGATGAGAAGCTTTTATGGTTCAGGAATAAAATGATACTCTCCGTGACAACCTAATCTCTTTTAAATTGTTTCTGTGCATCATTCTTTTAGATGAGGCATAAAGCTGGTTTCCGGGCTACATGTTGTCATTTAGAAATCTCATGGCACTTTTCACAAGAGTAGGGCCCTGAATCCCAGTGTCCTAGTTAAATTCAGATTGGCTAATTAAATTCTGCCTACCTAAAACTCACCAAGCAGCATCATCTGGAGAAATTACTCTTTGCTTCGTGTTTTTCAATTGTTTTGTAATGTTACTATGTGCTCTAAGAAGACATCTATCATCATTCTCTCCAGAGGCTGCTGCATTTCGATACAGAGTGAAGTGGTTCCTTTATTAAAAACCCGTCCTGCAAACACTTACATACCTGCTTTACTTTATGCACTATGAGTAGTCTGGTTGCCTTCAAGGGAATTACTCACATGCTTAAAGTTAAGCACATTTGAAATCTTTGCAATAGCAGTATTTTGACAGCTGCATCATGTTAAGGCCTTGATCCTGCAATCCTAACCAATCACAAATATACAGCTCATCTGGTTCTTCTGACAAGGGATGGCCTTTATTTTATACCTGTACCATAGGGAGAGTCTATTTTTCCTCTCTGTAAATGTAAATTATTAATGTTTTAAGTGATTAATTAGGAAAATAAGGATACATTCCAAACCAAGAGCTGATTCTGCAATCCTTACATTGAGTAGTCTGGGGCTATTTGTAAGTGCCTTTAAAATACGGACCGTACAATGGGGGCACAATTAGGAATCTTTCCATTTACTTCAATGGGCTTTGGATCAGGCCCCAAGTTAGCTTCTCTTTATATTCTGCAATTCATTAACTCAAATTCTGGACCTTTAATTCTGAGAGCCAAAGTTCTACAAAAGCATAAATCAACAAGATTCTAATCTATCAGAACTCCAATTCACTTTGTGTTCAGATCACCGTAGCAGGATAAAGTATTTTACATTCAGACCGAGCTATTAACAGTTCGGATCAATCACTATTTTAAAGACCAATTTATCTCCTAATACTTTCCATATCAATAAGAGAAAGGTTCTTGGTTTTTTTTTTACAACAGATGCTTGCTTGTGTATACACCTCTACCTCGATATAACGCTGTCCTCGGGAGCCAAAAAATCTTACCGCGTTATAGGTGAAACCGCGTTATATCTAACTTGCTTTGATCCACTGGAGTGCACAGCCCCGCCCCCCCAGAGAGCTGCTTTACTGTGTTATATCCAAATTCATGTTATATTGGGCCGTGTTATATCGGGATAGAGGTGTATAAGTTTAGCCTAAAGCCTAGAGAAGCCAGGTCTATTAATTATTATTGTTATTTACTATTTGTGCTGCTACAGTGTATACAGGCTCCAGTCAGGGAGCATGGCTTCATTGTGCTAGACACGCTACAGATAGGCAGTATTACCAACTGCCACAGATGTATTGTGAGCATCTTGATATTTAATATTTTTCTGAAAGTCCTAGCTCTTGTAGTCTAGTGATTACGTCAGAATCTCAGCTTTTTTTTTTAAAAGTAAGTTTCTAGCCTCCATGGTGGCAGAGAAAAGCTTGAAAATGTGACATGCATGCACCCTAAAGGCTCAGAAACCAGAAGGCAAATCCTTCCTGTTACCTTAAGAACTCCTCGATACCAACTGCCAAAGGGTTCACTGTTCTGTAAGATTTCAGAGTGGTAGCCGTGTTAGTCTGTATCAGCAAAAAGAACGAGGAGTACTTGTGGCACCTTAGAGACTAACAAATGTATTTGGGCATAAACTTTCGTGGGCTAAAACCCACTTCATTGGATGCATGCAGTGGAAAAAACAGTAGGAAGATATATATATATACACAGAGAACATGAAAAAATGGGTGTTGCCACACCAACTCTACTGGGACTAATCAATTAAGGTGGGCTATTATCAGCAGGATTAAAAAAAAACTTTTGTAGTGATAATCAGGATGGCCCATTTCAAAACAGTTGACAAGAAGGTGTGAGTAACAGTAGGGGGAAAATTAGCATGGGGAAATAGTTTTTACTTTGTGTAATGACCCATCCACTCCCAGTCTTTATTCAAGCCTAATTGAATGGTGTCCAGTTTGCAAATTAATTCCAGTTCTGCAGTTTCTCGTTGGAGTCTGGTTTTGAAGTTTTTTTGTTGAAGAATTGCAACTTTTAGGTCTGTAACTGAGTGACCAGGGAGGTTGAAGTGTTCTCCGACTGGTTTTTGAATGTTATAATTCTTGACGTTTGATTTGTGTCCATTTATTCTTTTGCGTAGACTGTCCGGTTTGGCCAATGTACATGGCAGAGGGGCATTGCTGGCACATGATGGCATATATCACATTGGTAGATGTGCAGGTGAACGAGCCCCTGATGGCATGGCTGATGTGATTAGGTCCTATGATGATGTCACTTGAATAGATATGTGGACAGAGTTGGCAACGGGCTTTGTTGCAAGGATAGGTTCCTGGGTTAGTGGTTTTGTTGTGTGGTGTGTGGTTGCTGGTGAGTATTTGCTTCAGGTTGGGGGGGCTGTCTGTAAGCGAGGACTGGCCCGTCTCCCAAGATCTATGAGAGTGAGGGATCGTCCTTCAGGATAGGTTGTAGATCCTTGATGATGCGCTGGAGAGATTTTAGTTGGGGGCTGAAGGTGACGACTAGTGGCGTTCTGTTATTTTCTTTGTTGGGCCTGTCCTGGAGTAGGTGACTTCTGGGTATTCTTCTGGCTCTGTCAATCTGTTTCTTCACTTCAGCAGGTGGGTATTGTAGTTTTAAGAACGCTTGATAGAGATCGTGTAGGTATTAGTCTCTGTCTGAGGGACTGGAGCAAATGCGGTTGTATCTTAGAGCTTGGCTATAGACAATGGATCGTGTGGTGTGTTCTGGATGAAAGCTGGAAGCATGTAGGTAAGTATAGCGGTTAGTAGGTTTCCGGTATAGCGTAGGGTTACCATATTTAAACATTAAAAAAAGAGGACACTCGACGGGGCCCTGGCCCTGCCCATTCCCTGCCCCAACTCCGCCCCTTCCCCAAAGTCCCCGCCCCAACTCCGCCCCCTCCCCTGAGCACCCCGCATTCCCCCTCCTCCCTCCCAGCCACATGAAACAGCTGCCCGAGCGCTACCGGCTTCACGGTTTGCCGGGCAGGCCCCAGACCTCCAGACCCTGCGCCCCTGGCCGGGCGCTTCCCCAGTGCAGCCAGAGCCCGGGAGGGGAAGCGCCCAGCCGGGGGTGCAGGGTCTGGAGGTCTGGGGACTGCCCGGCAAACCGTGAAGCCGGTAGCGCTCGGGCAGCTCTGCTCTTCAGCTGCACAGAGCTGGGGTGTCTGGGGGGGGAGCTGCAGGCGGATTCCCCTGCGGCGGCGGCGGCTGCTGCTGCTCCCCCCAGATGGTGATGCAGTTCTTCACAAGCCTGTGTACCCCGGGGAGCATTGCACCCCTTCCCCCAAAAATATTATTGGGGGGGGGGGGGGCGAATCAGGATTTTTGAATTACTCTCTGGATTTTTGAGGCCTGACGCGATTTCTGAATGTGGGACGGGAGTTGGCAATTATCCCTCTATATAATAATGAAACGCACAGTCCCTGACCCAAAGTCACCTAAAGTTGTAGGATAAACCAAACTGACACTCTCGTCTACCTGCTTTGCTTGGGTGGGGGTAAAGTTTTAGTACACCAGATAAATAAGGGCTGGTAAAGACACTAGTGGGAACACAGCCAGCTGTGGCTCACCACTGTGTGGCTGTGGCTAACTCCACGGCTCTCTCTTTACCCCAATGGCCGTTCTTTGCCGAACATCACAACACACTGGAGCATCGGCTACAAACTGGGATTTCGCCCCAGTCCCACGCACGCAGGGACAGGCAGCACGCGCACGAGCGTGACTTTAAGACCCGGGCCCCGCTGTATTCGGCGGCCTTTAGGACCCGGAAAGCCCTTAGGACTTACTGGGAAGAGCCCCCTTTCCGTCGCGCTGCTGTGGCGTCATCGCCTCGCGCCGCACGTCGGCGAGGTAACGCGTGGTTTTGGCGCCCGCGTGGAGTCCAGACTCGTGGCTCAGCTGCCTCCATGGCCGCCTCGGAGCAGCCGGCTGCGGCGATGAAGCGGCGGCACAAGGCGCAGTACGTGCCGGGGCAGCAGGCCAAGCGGCCCCGGGGCGGCGGCGGGCCGCGGCAGCTGGAGCTCGGCATGCAGGGCATCCTCATCACCTGCAACATGAACGAGCGCAAGTGCGTGGGGGAGGCCTACAGCCTGCTCAACGAGTACGGGGACCTGCTCTACGGGCCCGAGAAGGTGCGTGCGGCCAGCAAGGCCCACTGGCGGGGCTGGGTGCCGCTGGCCTGGCTGTGCTGCCCTGTGCGTTCTGCAGGGGGCCTCGCGTGGTCCCCTCCACTGGCGTCGCGCTTTTGTGCTGCTGCATCAGGGGGCCAGATTATTAGCAGGGTACTTCGGGACCCCTCTCCTAGATACCTGGGCACACACCAAAAAGCTAGTCCCTGCCCCGAGGAGCTTACAGTCTCCTGTGGTGGCAGAGTCATCTGTAAGCAGTTTATTTGTGGCAGCACCAAAGTGAACCCCATACCAGCAGAGGCCTGGGATTGGCTGGGGTTCCTGCGCTCTGCTGGCATCTCGGCCACTGCTGAGATCTGGCGTCCTTAAAGGATGCTCAAGAATGGCAGTGCTGGATAATTTGGGCATCTCTCTTGTCCAAAATAATAATGTTCAGCAACAAAAAAAAGGCAGCATGTTAATGTTCTGGTTTGTGGATATTTTAGAGCAAGAACTGAATTAATGTTAAAGAGGCCATCTAAATGTTTTGTTGTTGTTAAAGTGCCACAGGAGAACACTCTCTTTAAAAGTGCTCTAGAAATTAGTATAAGTGTTTCTTGCAGTGATGGATACACATTTGGTTTAATAACTCCTTCTGGTTAACATAACTGGCCTATTTATCTCTCTAAGTTTTTGCCTACAGACTAAGGGCTTGTCTACACTTAATGCTTCACTGAAGATGCTACCTATGCCAACAGGAGAGCTTCTCCTGTTGGTGTAGGTACTCCACCTCCCTGAGAGGTGGTAGATGGGTTGATGGGAGAATTTTCCCATTGACTTAGAGCTGTCTACACTGGGGTTTAGGTCAGTTTGACCCCTGAGTGATGTAGTTATACCAACCTAATTTCCTAGTATAGACCAGGCCTAAGATTTGCCTATTACTCGCAGCTCCCATTTATAAATTGCTACGGGTAATAATCTTGAAAAGTTTGCTTTCCAAACTGGTGATGAGTTTTGGGTTGTTTTTTTTTTTTTTTTTTTTAAAAGATGATTGATCATCCACCTGTTACCTAATGGTGCAAGAGACAAATTTTATGTAACGTGCTTTAAGATTAAATCACCACAGAGATAGAGAAAATGAAATGATGATTCCCACTGCAATAACTTCTGGTGCTTGTCTTAACCCAGTGTGCCTATTCCTAAAATGTCTCACTGCTTATTAACTGTCTACAGTATCACTGCTTGAATTCTGGCTTTTTTAGGCCATGGGTATAGTGGTGGGTTGTGACTTTCCTTTATTGAGCATTAGATGTGATTTCTTAACCCTTCGCTAACATCTCATTTAAGATGCATCCTCTTGTTTCAACAGTTTACAGATCAAGATGGCAGGTTGTCAGGAAGTGAAGAGGAGGAAGATGATGTTGAAGCTGCCTTAAAGAAAGAAGTTGATCAGATTCGCACTTCGACTGAGCAGAAGCTGAGAAGATTCCAGTCAGTGGAGAGTGGAGCTAACAATGTGGTCTTTATTAGAACGCTGGGTGTAGGTGTGTAGTGAAATAACTGCTGCATATCGCAACACACAGAAGCTGCTTTGCAGTTTATTAGACTGTTTCATGGTGTGACTGCCAAAGAAGTGAAGCATGCTGAATGTTCGTGCAGCCTTCCTCTTTCCCTTTTGCTTTACCATTGAACACTCTAGTGACTACAGCCAGATTGGTTCTGCTTGGGCAAAATAACTATCTGACCCTTGTAAACATAAAAGGGCTTGATATTTTGCTGAACCCGGAAAGCATGCAAAAAGGCTGATGTTCCCAGATCCTCAGCCTTGTTGTGAAATAACAAATACAAGCTGGAAGAACAGCCAGTGTATTGACAATCCAATAGACATGTGTATGGTCTGATCTTTCGGTCCTTGCTCAGGTAAAACTGTTGCCTGAGTAAAAAACTGCAGAAGTAGTCTTCCAGTATTGCACCTTGTTGGGTACTCTCTCTTGTGCTTCACAAGCCAGAATTGTGGAAATAATCTCTCCATACTTTCAAACTCCCTACCCTTTTGTAAGAACCCTATCGAATTTAGTAGGGTGCTGTAGAATTTGATGATTCAGTTTCTTTGTACTTGTAAGCAAGTAAGATTTGATGCTGTATTGCTTTTTAAAAGGAAATCTTTTCCATTTGTTGCTCTTACTCTGTTGTCTTCTCTTGTAGAACCCGAGAAGCTCGTGCATCATATATTAAAGGACTTGCACACTACTAAAAAGAAGAAAACAAGAGTTATTCTGCGCATGTTGCCCATTTCTGGAACCTGCAAGGCTTTTGTGGAAGATATGAAAAAGTATTCAGAGACCTTCTTTGAGCCTTGGTTTAAAGCCCCTAATAAGGGTACTTTTCAGATTGTTTACAAAGCTCGTAATAACAGTCACATGAGTAGAGAAGAAGTAATCAAAGAATTGGCAGGTATGTACTTATCTGACATAGCATGATTGTAGACAAGTGTATAAGCTACCTAAGACTGCATGTGTAACAGGTCAAATTATTCTAGCAAAAATTTTTTAGTAGACATAAATGTTGTGTTATAGCAAACTCAAGCATATTGAATTAGGAAAGTCACGTTTTTTTCCTTAAGCTCTGTGAAAGTAACCTGACATTAACAACACTCCTTTTTGATATCAGAGGTTTTCATCTTAACAAATCATAAACCAAAAGAGTGTGCGGTCCAGCTTTGTTGGATATAACTCACTTGACAATACCATTCCTGCAAACGTCCAGGATTGTATTAAAAATTCTTTGAATACTGAACATTATATTGGGAAATGGCTTGTCAATGTTTCCCTAGACTATGACTTAGGTCTGGTCTACACTACAGTTAGGTCAACGCAAGACTGCTTACATCTACCTAACTATGGAAATGCCTACACTTGAATTTCACTCCCGTTAAGGTAACTGCCCCACTACACTGACATAATAACTGCACCTCCATAAGCAATGCAGAGTCAAGGTTGATGTAGTTAGGTGGACGCAGTGTCAGTGTAGACACTGCTTTGCTTATGTTGACTGTTACTGGCTTTCAGGAGGTGTCCTACAATGCCTCAAACTGACAGTACAATCGATACAAGCACACCTGTTAAGGACACGTGCCACCAAAACAAGGAGCGAAGTGTAGACATGTACAAGAGTTGTAATTACGGTGGCAGCTGTATGCCAACGTAAATCAGGTCAACTTAATTTTGTAGTGTAGACGTGGCCTTAATGAAATAACTCTAAATTCACTTGGCAGCTTTCTCCTTGATAGTTGCTGTGGAGTAGTTCTTTGGTTCGAGAGAGTGTTTCTAAGAGTCCCAATCTGTCCTGCTATTTTGACCAATTCAGTGACTGAAAATTCTTGATTGCAGGTGCCATAGCTAAAGTGAGGAGCCTTGTTTTCCCCTACTTTGTGGTGCAGTTTGTTCTCTGAGATTTTAGTTCCAGAACCAAGTGTTCAGAATATTTGTGGAAACCGTTTTCTTGTGAAATTGGTGCTTATTTTGGCTTGTTGCTACAACAGCAGGTTTCTCTCGTTGTTTGGCAGTAAGTTTATCCCCTCTGTCTGGTTTTTCTTTTTTTTTTTTTAGAACTAGTCTGATTAAAAGTCCTCGCACTTTAAGTGAGGGCTCAACTGATGAACATAACACCTCATTTACACTTTTCTCTATGAAAAACATTCCTCCGGTTTCCCCACTGATTCTAAGACCGTTTCCTTTTATTTTGTAGGAATAGTGGGCAGCCTAAATCCAGAAAACAAAGTGGATCTTAATAACCCCCAGTATACCATTGTGGTAGAAATAATAAAAAACGTCTGTTGCTTGAGCGTGGTGAAAGACTATGTTTTGTTCAGAAAATATAATCTACAAGAGGTGGTGAAGAGCAACAAGGAGGAACCGGTGCAGCAAAACCTGTTGAGTGCTTCACAAGAGGAGAAGTTGAAAGAAATAAAACTGGCAGAAGAGGACTCTAAAGAAGTGAAACCAGAAGACAAAGGTCAGAGTGAAGAGGAATCTAAGCCCAATGAGAGCGACAGTCAGCAGGCATAGAGAATGTGATGGAAGGGGAAGACAAACACTAAAGATCACTGTAAAATAGATTGGCTTAGAGTTTTGAAATGGACATTTAAAGGGGAGCTTAATTTTTTATTTTAAATTTGCTTTTTAAAATATCCAAGTATTTAAAAAAAAAAAAAAAAAGTCATGCTCCATCCTGTCTTTGCTATTGGAGCCAATGTTGCAGCACGCAGTGTCAGAGAAGGGTGATATTTATCACTTATACTCTTCAGCCTGATTCTCCAACACCTTCCATCTTGTGTGGTCAGATATCTGTGCAATGTGTATGTAAATTGTTACCAGTTTGATCTGGTAGCATTTTACACCCACTTACCACATGTAAATAACTACCATAGGGTGCCGGGCTGACTCAACTCCTTTGCCTCTAGACATTCTGAGAAGTCAGTGGCAGAGGCAGGATTGCGAGATCTGGAAAAGGACAGGATCTTGCAAGGGGATTTATTTGAAAATACAGTGCTATTTTGTTTTGGTGACATGACTTTGCATACTATGTAAACCTCGTCTTACTAAATACAGAACGAGCCATAAGCTCCTGACTTTCTGTATGTTGTTCAGATGTCTACAAAGACTATTTTAGAACACATTAACATGTCTTTGAAATATGTTGGGTGGAGAAGAGGAATTGCCACCATCAAAATAACTCAGTATTATGAGCAAACCTCTCCCTCAAATTCCTGTAATTTTCTAGAACAGACAGATGCCAGTGGCACTCCTTTATTTAAGTTTGATGTTTTTATTAAATAGTCTCATTCATTGGTTTTATTTTTTTATTAGCTGTGCTCATGTTTTCTTTAAGCTTCTTGATGTGAAAGCAGCTCTCTGTATTACCCAGCATCTAGTAGAAAAAGTTTAACTTTGTGTGGTTTCAATATTACAAAATGAGTGTTTTGCCTCAGTTTGAAAATAGCATCTGAATTTTTCCTCTTCCTATAACATTTAACTTATCATTGATAAGTTACAGTATCATTTTTACAAAGACTAGAAACCCAGATTAAAAAGAGAACCTATTTTAATATAGTGCGGCTATAGCTTGTTTTCCAATAGTATTGTTGCTGTACACTTTTTGTACAAGTGTATGGCTTAGGTGTTTCGTGATACACTTACAACTTAAACCTATTGGTGTCACTAATCGAAAAGCATTTGCTCCAAATAACACCAGCTGGCTTGATTGTGATTTAATGAAAAGGACATGGTTGAGCCTCTTACGAGTTTTGTTTTATGATCTCTGGTGGTTGTAAAACTGTTTTAAGTTTGAAAATTAAAAAAAATCCTTCCCTACGCCTGTGTTTCTTTCCCCCCCCCCCCATCCTGACTGACTTAAGCTGTGCTTTCTCACAGCCAGTGCTGTTCTTCTGATACGTGAATATAGATTCCAAGGCCTGAAGGGACCATTGTGATCATCCAGTCTGACGTCCTGTATAACAGGCCATAGAACTTCCCCAAAATAATTCCTAGAGCAAATCTTTTAGAGAAACATCCAATCTTGATTTTAAAATTTAACATGGTGGAGAACCTACCATAACCCTTGGTAAATTGTTCCCGTGGTTAATTGCTCTCACTTTGCAAATTGTATGCCTTATTTCCAGTCTGAATCTGTTTAGCTTCAACTTCTAGCCATTGAATTGTGTTATACCTTTCTTTGATGGATTGAATGGGGATTGTTTTATTGTGGGAGGCCCATTATTAAATATTTGTTCCCAATTTAGATACTTAGAGACTTCGGTCAAGTCACCCCTTAATCTTTTCTTTGCTACGTAGAGTGAGCTCCTTGAGTCTATCACTACAAGGCATGTTTTCTAAACCTTTAATCATTTTTGTGGCACAACTCTCTCCAGTTTATCAAAATCCTTTTTGAATTGTGGACAGATGCAAGAAGCCTGGGAAACAAGCAGGGAGAACTGGAAGTCCTGGACAGTCAAGGAATTATGATGTGATTGGAATAACAGACTTGGTGGGATAACTCACATGACTGGAGTACTGTCATGGATGGATATAAACTCTTCAGGAAGGACAGGCAGGGCAGAAAAGGTGGGGGAGTTGCATTGTATGTAAGAGAGCAGTATGACTGCTCAGAGCTCCAGTATGACTTAGTGCATAAAAACTGCAGAAAAACCTGTCTCTCTCTGGATTAAGTTTAGAAGTGTGAGCAACAAGGGTGATGTTGTGGTGCGAGTCTGCTATAGACCACCAGACCAGGGGGATGAGGTAGACGAGGCTTTCTTCGGGCAACTAACAGAAGTTACTAGATCACAGGCCCTGGTTCTCATGGGGGACTTCAATCACCCCGATATCTGCTAGGCGAGCAATACAGCAGGGCACAGACAATCCAGGAAGTTTTTGGAAAGTGTAGGGGACAATTTCCTGGTGCAAGTGCTGGAGGAACCAACTAGGGGCAGAGCTCTTCTTGACCTTCTGCTCACAAACAGGGAAGAATTAGTAGGGGAAGCACAAGTGGATGGGAACCTGGGAGGCAGTGACCATGAGATGGTCAAGTTCAGGATCCTGACACAAGGAAGAAAGGAGAGCAGCAGAATACGGACCCTGGACTTCAGAAAAGCAGACTGACTCGCTCAGAGAACTGATGGGCAGGATCCCCTGAGAGAATAACATGAGGGGGAAAGGAGTCCAGGAGAGCTGGCTGTATTTTAAAGAAATCTGAAAAGGTTCAGAGAAGGGCAACTAAAATGATTAGGGATTTGAAATGGGTCCCATATGAGGGGAGGTTAAAGAGGCTAGGACTTTTCAGCTTGGAAAAGAGGAGGGGGGGGGACATGATAGAGGTATATAAAATCATGAGTGGTGTGGAGAAAGTGAATAAGGAAAAGTTATTTACTTGTTCCCATAATATAAGAACTAGGGGCCACCAAATGAAATTAATGGGCAGCAGGTTTAAAACAAATAAAAGGAAGTTCTTCATACAGCACACAGTCAACCTGTGGAACTCCTTGCTTGAGGAGGTTGTGAAGGCTAGAACTATAACAGGGTTTAAAAGAGAACTAGATAAATTCATGGAAGTTAAGTCCATTAATGGCTATTGGCTGTTTGTCAGAGGGTGGAGATGGATGGCAGGAGAGAGATCACTTGATCATTACCTGTTAGGTTCACTCCCTCTGGGGCACCTGGCATTGGCAACTGTCGGCAGACGGGATACTGGGCTGGATGGACCTTTGGTCTGACCCAGTATGGCTGTTCTTATGTTCTTAATCCTTATTGAGGTTGCAGGAACAAACCATCCCAATGTGTAGAAAGAATAGTAAATAATGGCAGGCGACCAGCTTGGCTTAACAGTGAAATCCTTGCTGATCTTAACACAAAAAAGAAGCTTACAAGAAGTGGAAGATTGGACAAATGACCAGGGAGGAGTATAAAAATATTGCTCAGGCATGCAGGAGTGAAATTAGGAAGGCCAAATCACACTTGGAGTTGCAGCTAGCAAGGGATGTTAAGAGTAACAAGAAGGGTTTCTTCAGGTATGTTAGCAACAAGAAGGTGGTCAAGGAAAGTGGGCCCCTTACTGAATGGGGGAGGCAACCTAGTGACAGAGGATGTGGAGAAAGCTAATGTATTCAATGCTTTTTTTGCCTCTGTCTTCACAAACAAGGTCAGCTCCCAGACGTTGTTGCAGAGGGCAACAAAAATCATTAGGGGGCTGGAGCACATGACTTATGAGGAGAGGCTGAGGGAACTGGGATTATTTAGTCTGCAGAAGAGAAGAATGAGGGGGGATTTGATAGCTGCTTTCAACTACCTGAAAGGGGGTTCCAAAGAAGATGGATCTAGACTGTTCTCAGTGGTACCAGATGACAGAACAAGGAGTAATGGTCTCAAGTTGCAGTGGGGGAGGTTTAGGTTGGATATTAGGAAAAACTTTTTTGCTAGTAGGGTGGTGAAGCACTGGAATGGGTTACCTAGGGACGTGGTGGAATCTCTTTAGAGGTTTTTAAGGTCAAGCTTGACAAAGCCCTGGCTGGGATGATTTAGTTGGGGATTGGACTAGATGACCTCCTGAGGTCCCTTCCAACTATGATATTCTATGACACCAGAACGGGACACAGTATTCTAGCAGCAGTTACAGCAGTTATTTTACCTCTGTATTTACCAAATACAGAGGTAAAATAACCTCTCCACTCCTACTTAAGATTCCCCAATTTATGCATATATGGATCACATTAGTCCTTTTGACCACAGTTTCCCACTGGGAGCTCATGTTAGGCTGATTATCTATGTGTCGTCCCCTCCACCCCCAAGTCTTTTTCTATAATTGCTGCTTTCCAGAATAGAGCCTCCCCCTCCATCCTGTTAGCCTGCTCTACATGCTTTGTTACTATAAATATACATTTAACTGTACTAAAATACACATTGCTTACACTCAGTTTACCAAGTGATCCAGATGGCTCTGTATTAGTAACTTCTCCCTCTTCTTTACCACTTCCCCAGTTTTTGTGTCAGCTGTGAACTTTATTAGTAATGATTTTGTTTCCTTCCAGGTCATTGATAAAACTGTTGAATAGCATAGGGCTAAGAAGGGATCCCTGTGGGACCCTCGCTAGAAACACACCCACTTGACACTGATTCACTGTTGACATTTACAATATGATACCTATCAGTTAGCCAGTTTTTAATCCACTTAAATGTGTGCCACGTTGATTATATATTCTAGTTTTTTAATCAAAATGTCATAGTACAAAGTCAAAGTATATTATATCAACGAGATTACCTTTATCAACCACATTTGTAATCTTATTAAAAAAATCAAATTAGTTTGACAGGATATATTTTGCAGAAATCCATGTTGATTAGAATTAATTATATTACACTCCTTTAACTGAATCCTGTATCAGCTGCTTCATTATCTTAGACGCATTAATTTTAAGGCCAGAAGGGACCATTGTGAGCATCTAATCCGACCACTTGGGCATGGCAAGCGCCAGAACCTCCCCACCCACTTCTATAATAGATCCATAACCTCTAGCAGAGTCACTGAAGTCCTCAAATCATGATTTAAAGACTTCAGGTTACAGAGAAACCACCATTTACACTAGATTAAGCCAGCAAATGATCCATGCAGATTGTGACAGGTTGTCACCCCCGGAGTGAAGCCTGGAAGCCATTGGAACCGCTGT